TAAATTATCTTTGACACCAGCTTTACTGCATTTATCCTTAAGAAGTGTATTTAATTTAGTAGCCACATTATCTACTCTTCCAGATTTTCGACTAAAACGTGTTCCATGACATGAATGTGCAACGAAAGTACCAGTAATACCCGTATCATCTTGTGATGTTACTTTGAGATCTTTGTCACAGTCGATAGTTGATGGTTTGCTTGATTTCAGTGGTTTGCCAGATTTTGGTGCACTTTTCGATGGCGTGCCAGGTGCTGTATCCGAGAGCGGTTGCTTCTTGGTTTTCTCATCTGGGTTAACCTTCTCTATATCTGGCTGAGGAACCTTCTTTGGTCCTGCATCTTTGGTTGGCACAGTTTCGTCTTCTTCGGAAGTGCTGCTATCACTGTCTTCATCACCTTCTTGTTTAATTGATGCTGTTTCAATCGTGTTTTTTACCTAAATCGAAAATATGTGCATTTTTTACTTCAGATTACTCAATGAGTTCAATGCTCTCTTATTCTTTATCAGTTTCCTTACTTCTCAAATGCTCCTGCTCTCTCCAGCATTCGAAAGGAAAATGACTCACTTTTTCATCTTTACATATTTGCTTCAGCGCTGTTCGTGCTCTTGTATGATCAGATTTTGGTACTCCAACAGTATATGAGAATACTGTATGCGTTTTGTTTCCACTAAGTACTTTGGTACTACATTTGTAGTTGACGTTAGTATTATACATGTTTTTGTAATAAGCCTTCAGTTGATCACAAACCGCACCAGAAAGTTTAGCAAGTCGTGTTGCATTGTTTTTGAATCGTTTTTCACAAGGACAATCTTGAACAACAATCTTACCAGTCATTGTTTCATCATCTTCGGTCTGAATGTTGTCATCATCATCACAATTTTTTACTTGAACTGTTCGCTTCGTTGTAGGAGCCTTCTTTACTCGGCCAACTTTCGTCGTTTTCTGTTGTGCTACAACAGTAAAAAAACACTAAATATCATCCTATTCTTCTAAACATGAAAGACAGTGCATTTTTCTCGTTATTTATCTCGTAAGGAATAAAATTGTTGTTTCAAAAAAAAAGGGATATAAAAACAGTTGCTATTATCAACATCTTCAATCTAGGAAAATACTGTTGTCCTACAACATCTCAAGTTACAGCATTCACTAATGAATATATTCTGTTTCTTCATTTCATTCTATGTGAAATGGAGTCACATAATGTGTCATAGCAAATTCTACCAAACACTAAAAACAACGAATTGATAAGAGAGAAGCAGCTTACGGCGTTGTTCACTTGAAGCAGGAGCATCTTTACTCTTTGGAGTTTCTTTCGATGGCGCCTTGGGGA